TGTCTAAAAAGAGAAGAATCAATTCGGAGATCTCGCGGCTCCGATTCGCGGAGCAATATACGTGTGTATCCACGCGCGGTAGACGGAAGCAATGAACGTCGCTGCGGTTATCTAGTTTGATACTTCCTTCCCAGCTTACGCGCGTTCGTACAACAGCGTGAGCCGACTTTCTACGCGTTCACGGACTGTAGAAACCGACCGTAGAAACGCGACGGTCTCTTAAATGGACCACCTTTACGCCGGACGGTGCGTTGCGTCGTTCCTGCAAGGCCGATCCGTTAAATCCGTAAAATCCGTAAAACTCTTTACAAAATTGTATGGAAAAACGGATATTCCGTCAGCGAATCGGTCCCATCCTACGTATCTTTCGCATTTTCCTGAGGCCACCTGGACGAACAGCGATAAGACCGGGCCACGCGGTGCCCGCGATACGGCGAGTATGCGATTTACGTAACGGAACTTACTGGACGTATGCGCAACCCGCAACCTGCAACCCGTAACTCACGGTGAAATTGCGATCGAACGGCATTACGAGCGACGAGAGACGAGCGACGGGAGACGAGAGACGAGCGACGAACGCGGACCACGACTAGATTGATTAATGCTCATCAAGTTCGTTTCACCGGCTCGTTCTGGAACTTTCGTTTGCAAGGGGGAAAAGTTAACCGTAGGCAAAGACGCGTTTTTGAACACGATCGACGTGTCGATCGATCCCTGGAACGATCGCGATCGAGTCACGACCGAGGTCGTTCGTCGGACGAAGCGACGCGGTGGAAAACTAAAATGATTCTCTGCGAAACGAGGCGGGAATTCCATGCCCGAAAGAATGGCGAGACGTCGCTTCGCGGCGGTAGTCACGAAGGTCGCGAATTTCGAATCGCAACGACGATCAAACCGCAATAAAGAACACAGCCCGATCGGAACAATATCGCCTCGTTCCGCTCGACGATGATCGCGTGAATTCACGGCGACGCGTTATTATTTCGTATTCCGCGAATCGCTGCGTCGCGATTATTAAATAAATGCCCCCTTCGTATGCGAACGATTAATCCAAATTTTATTTTATTTCGCGTTCGCGGATGCGTTTTTCAATCGATTTCGTTGTCATTTAGGAACTGTTTTTCCTATTACCAGCATTTCTCATTTTTCGTGCTCCGATTTCTACGCTTTACCCGACAGATAAAGCGACGAGAAGAGAACCATGTGTCGGTGATCGCCTCCGAGAGTCCCGCGACCGAGACAATTTGCTCTCGTTTCCTTTCATTCTTTGGTCAAGTTTCACTGATTCGGGTAAAAGTCCACGTCCGCTGATTGCGATCTGGATCTCGGCCGGCAGAGATCGAGCTCGGCACTGTTCGCTCGGATAGCTTCCCGCGTTTCGAACCCTGCCGGGAATTGGAACTGGATCGTTCCTAGCTGGCACGGGTCTCGGGATCTCGAGAAACTACCGACATCCGACGAAGCAAAATGTTATGAAATCGATTAGAAATCTTTGATCGCGAGTGCGTCGAGTCCGCGGACTCGCAACTCGCGACTCACGACTCGCGAGACGTCGAAACCACAACTTTCTCTCCCCGTCGGCTACAATGATTTTCCACGTGCGTCGTGCATCGTGCATCGTGCATCGTGCATCGTGCATCGACCAAGTCACGCGAATCCCCGCAACTTTCTCGACAAATTGACGAGAATCCGAGGATGACGAAACCGTCTGCCTACGGCGCGAAACGTTCCCTACGCGTCGATCCGATACGTAGCCACGTATCGCTGGTAGTCGGGTCGATCGCTGATCGACCGCGCTTTACGAACGCTTCGCGAACGAATCCGTGCCAACGCGTTCGCGACGCCGCAACTGGAACGCTATTAAACGCGATTAAATACGACGCGAGCCCGGATCGCGGCAACGGTGGCAATGATCTTGCCAAGGCTGCAAGATCAAGCACGATCGGCGCCGGAGTCGGTTACGATCGGACGATGGACGACGGGCGGCAGCCCGGTTACGCGGCGGTCAAAGTGCGCCAAAACGATCCAACGATCGGAGAGCCGTACCGCTCGAGACTTTGAGCATCGGTTTCTTCGCGTCGCCGTCGTTTCCGATCGTTTCTGCGATCGTGCCGAAGAACGATCGCAGAATCTGGACCGTCGGAGACGACACCCGTCGAGAATAATACGTAGCGAGCGCGGAAACTACTTTTCCATCGAACCATCGATACCGTTCTCTTCGCAGCGGGATGCCCGAGCGTGGTCGATTGCTAAAACTGTTTTCTTTCTTAGGCCGGGAGCAACGTAATCGAACGGATGTTGATGTCATTCGTGGGTCCATCTCCCGGTGGAGACCGATCCACGCACACCACGCACGGCCACGCGCGCATACGTGTATACGCGGAGAAGCGAGGGTGGAGTGGAACGGGGCGGAACGGAACGGAACGGAACAGAACGGAATGTGGCAGAGTGTAGAGCACGTATCTACCCGTAAATATATTCCGTTTAAGGCTGATGGCTAGATTGTTCGTAGTTGACTACGAGCTCTCTCGCATCAGGCCAGTTAGCTCGAGTTACGCGTACATCGAGCTCGAGCTCGAGCTCGGTTCCGAAACAAGCTCGAGCTCGTGGAACTGTAATCGGGCACGTCTACGTCGTCTGCCGACTGATTGCCAATTCAACGCCCCCACGACCCGGCCTCTCCCCGAAGAAGCTGCGTCGCTCGCCGAACCCTGTCTTATTCCTATTCACGCAGTTTCGCTTTTCTCTTTCCTCTTTCCCCTTGTCCGGTTCCACGATGACATTGTCTTGGGACACTTGGTGAACGCGAACGCGGTTTCCTTCTCACTTTCGGCGACCTCCATGCGCGAAACCCTGAAAGCACGATGGCTTCGCAACTATGTGTTCCGAGATCGAACATCGGTGAAATCGGAACGCGTCGAGGATGGCTAAGACAAGATTCACAGGTATGCCCGAAATCGGAAATAGATACGGCGCGGCGCCTGCGCTTCTCGTTCACCTACTTTTACCCCCTTTAACGGCGGAAAACGAGACGACCGCGTTCGCACCAACATTCACCCGACGAATACAATGTAGACGTTCGTCTTTGCATCGTGTCTAATATCAACGTCGATCCACGTTTATCCATCCGAAGCTGTACTCGATGCATCCACGTGTATGCTATCGTGTACAGTGATCGCGCTAATAACGCGTCCGTCTTGGAGGGACGATCGTCCTTGCTCTCGAGCAAAAAGCGCTTCGAACGCCGAGATAGGAGTTCGTAGGAATTCGTCCGTCGTCCAACGACGAGATGATTATTTATTCGTCGGGCGTTGGACAAAAGTCGATCGGTGCGTGTATATTGGCTGCGCGCGATAGAAACCTAGAACAAAGGATAACGGAAAAGTCAGAGGCAACGGAGAAACGAAACGGAGGAAATGTCCGATCGAACGCGTAAGAGGCGGTGGTACGGTACATGAGATGCTATCGTTGCCTCGTTCGAACTTAACGAAGATGTTCGTGACGCGCACTTTCGTAGGTGGAACAACTCGCTTGTTCGTCGTGCCGGATCGAAATGAATTTAAAACAGAGGGCAGGCCAATGGAAAGACGGCCGTTCTACGCATGCGGCCACCGATAACCTACTCTTGTCGCAAGGAACACGGATTATCTGTCCGTGGTCGCTGAAAAATGGTCGATCAGGGCTTCGGTTACGCTTCCGTTTCGTTCCGTTCTCCGGACCGCCTGTGATATCACGCAAGTGCGATCAGCGAGGTGACGTTGCTCAGGTGCAAACCAGTGAGAGGGTAACTACTTTGGCGAGATGCTAGCGAGAATCCATTGCGTTCGTCGAATCGCACTGGTCGCGCGTTCCCCCGTTATTATCGCCGAGGAAAACGATCGCATTTAGAAACACGGAAAGACGAAGCGTTAACAAAAGCAAAATCAAAACCAGAAAACAACGAATCTCGTGGCAAGTTGAACGCGCAAAGTTTGACCGGACTAATGAAACGAATGACAGCGATCGAAATCTAGTCTGGCCAATGTTACGGATAAAAAAGGCTGATATACCTAAACCGATTCCGTGAAGAGCATCGATACACCGCTTGCACGACCGTTTCGCGTCGGTCGTTTCTTCCTAGACACCTCGACAGCGTCCGGATCTCTCCGGATATCTGAGAAGTAAACAAGCCAATAATCGGTCGACGGAATCGAACAGAAAAATCAAGACATGTTAAAAGAGATACGACCGGCAGCGTCCTTCGACGTTCTCTCGCTCTGGTTCGAGTCGATTCCGGGGTTCAGGAGTAGACCGAAATCGGAGGGTTCCCCTAGCGACTATTCAAAGATATCTCATAGGCTTTCGAACAACGCGGCAAAGGGATTATGTAGCAGAGTAGCCGGTGAAAGAGGATGCATCCGGGAGCGGTGTCGTTGAACCGGATTCATTCTGGTTGTTCGGCTCGGTGTTGGTGCCGGCGTCGTCGTCGTCGTCGTCGTCGTCGTTGGCGACATCGAGGCCGCGATAACCGGATCAAGAGAGGACCTGGCACGAATTGGAATCTGTCGTAAAAGCCAGAAAATTCATTACAAAATGTTGGCCGAAATGGTTCGACTGTCCTACCAGCATCGAGCATTTTATTGCTACGTGATCCTCAGCGTCTGGATATTCCTGCTCGTTGCCGGTAATCTGAAAATTCGTATTTATATTCTAGCTCTCAGTTTATCTTGCCGTAGAACGTTGTAGGACACCATATACCGCGTATACGTATACGTTCGTATAAACAATCGTACGAAACACCGCGTCTCGTGTTCCATATTCTACGATTCCTGTATCGTACGGTCATATGCATAGAGTATTACGCTATGCGTTAAGCTGCACGATAGCACGCACATTTACGCGTACACGAGTTGCGTTGTCACTTTTCTCGGTCCTCCTTTCCCAGCTTCGATGCGAGTCTTTGCTTTCCATGACAAATTTTCGTCCAATTCGATGCAACGCGCGCGTAAACGCCTAAGCCGGGACACTACCCTGTGTTCTTAGTGCATGCGTCGATGTTTCCTTCGTACCTACCATCTCCCTCTTTCGAGTACGGATTCTTTCTGTAGAAGATGGAAATACCGTAGATGCTGTACCTATATACGTTTACTCGTCAAATTCTATTCTCGAAACTTTTCAGGTATGTACAAATACATTGGTATAGACGAGAAGAGCTCTATACAAGCGAGAGTCCTGGGGAACGACGTTTCCGTTCGAGAATATCCTAGAAATTTGAAAGCCGACGTAAAAACCAAGAAGATATTCCGATTTTGCAATCCACCCAATGAAATTATTGCAGAATCAGAAGGTACCGAGGATTACGTAGACTAGATAATGTTCCGATTCTTCGCCGTACTCTTCCATCTTCTGTCTTCTCCTAGGAAAATTGGATGGAAATCTAACGCTGGGCGGTGTTTTGGTATTTATACGGCACGGAGACAGGGGCCCGTTGGGTCATGTTCGAAACATAAGCGTAGTAAACTGCGGCGGAGACTTTGCTTCTACCCCTGAATTGGAAATCGTCTATCAAAACTATGTCAATTTTCTTCAGAACATCTCCAGTTATTCCAGAACGGCGTGGGCACAATTCCTAGGACCCTTCCATGGTTTTCCTATGCTGCCGGCCAACTCTAAGGACTGCAGAATTGGCCAATTGACCACTCTGGGCGTATCTCAACTCCTAAAAACAGGAATCGTTCTTAGAAACGCTTATTATCATAAACTTAATTTGGGGAACGGTACAGTATCCGGCAGAGACGTGGTTGTATACAGCACCAGGTATCGTAGGACTGTTCAAAGCGCCGTTGCTTTGTTGTACGCGCTCTTAGAGACCGACGGCTTCCAGAATCTTGCCAAGATCAGCATGCAGGAGAGTCAAAGCTACGCATTTTGCAATACCGACTGCGCGTGTCCTGCGGCAGAAAGATTTTTCAAGCAGCATGTCAAGGTAACGTTGGATGCTTTCGGATGGTTGTTTCAGACGTTTTCAAACGATTTCAAACGATTTCAAACGTGAAAGTACCTGTATCGTTGTCCTCCTGATACGACGATTAACCTGACGACCATCTGAAACGGTTTCAGGAAATGTCCGACCATCTAAAGTCCCATCCGGCGGTTGGGGAACTGATAAGACAAGCGTCGAACGCGGTCTTCGAAATCCCGGATCAGGCACAGACGATGGATCCCAACACGTTGAAAGATGCATTGTTGACCTATGTTTGCCATGGAGCTTCTTTACCTTGCGTGGATTTGGAGGCGCAACGAATCTGCGTCAAGACCGAACACGTGACAGGCCTGTTCGCCTATAGCGAATGGGAGTCGAAGCAAGTGGCTAAAAGCAGCAATCGTCGAAAATACGGGTTGCTAAGGGCATACGGGCTTCTTCGGAACATAGTCTCGTACATGTTACGCATTATATCCGAGGCGAAGCCGAAGATAGTTTTATACTCGGGACACGATAAAACTCTCGAGTACCTGGCAACCGCTCTCGGCATCTTCTCCGACAAATTGGCCATGCCGCATTACGCGTCCCGTTTCGTCATCGAGGTTTATCGCCTCAATTCGAGAAACGAGAACCATGTAGCCAGCGACTTTTATTTCCGTGTGATAGTCAATGGAAAAGACTTTACACAAAAGATACCGTTCTGTAGAAACGCCAATTTCTATAGTGCAAGTTACACGGAGCGGTCGGATACCGACAGAGTTCGTAAAGATTCGAAATTGTGCCCGATCGAAACCATCATTCGTCAGCTCCACGACGACTATTTTGGCCCGTTCAACGCGACTAACTTCAAAGATGCCTGCAGCAGTCGTAAACGCGGCTAATTCCAACAGAAAACAAATGTGATACCGATACGAATGGTACGAAACGATGCCAGCATGTAATACACATGACGAGACATACACGATGTAATACGATATACGATAGACGATAGACGATAGACGATACGAAAGTCGATATCAAAATGGCGGCTGCACTTCCATCGAGCAGGACCATCGATAGATCGTTGCATTTCGTTTGCGCGGGCGATTCGATGTTCCAGAATCCTGACACAAATTACAAATGTAATAATTAGATTGCGGAATTTTATGCATTTATAGCCGCTATTAATATCGTTAAAAGAAGATATACGTATATACCTTTTTCTTCAACTTTTGTTTTATATGTAGAACGAGGATGAGGAAAATTTGTACTTTGCATAAAGATTCGCAGTCTAGTAATAACAAATATGTACGAAAGCATTCCAATTTCCAACGTATGCACCGATTCGAATTGACAAACTGTCCCATTCTAATATTTTCGTACGATCGTCTCCCAGAATGTTTTCGCAAATGATTTAATGGTTTTCCGACTGGTCTTCTTCTCAAGTTCTTCCGTATGTCGATTTGGAATCTGGAATTTGTGCGACCTTGATCAGGGACAAATAGCAAATTTGTACGTTATATGATATTTTACAAAGAAAGTATTAGAAATCTTCGAAAGATTCCTTCTAACTGGACTGCTGATATTTATGCAGATGTTTCTCTGGTCTGTGATCTGCTTTCTGATTTCGAAAGACTCGAATTTAAGAGAAATTTATCCGGTCAAAAACGAATATTCGATAAGCTTCCAACCAGTAAAAATGTTCGAAACAAGAAACCGTACTATGGAAATGCATAAAATCTGCAGTCCAGTAGTAATTGTAACGAACCACGAAAATACTAAAACGATAGGAACGAGTTAATATTTAAAGTAATAAGATAAGATTTGCACCGTTTTAGACTGTAATTATAAACGAATAACAAAAGAGAAGCCTTATATTCTTAGGTTACGTTTACCAAAATCGAACGTAGCTTTAAATACATGTACGATATCGATGATATACAAGGTGTCCAGAAATAGACGATACAATTTGATAATGTATTACGTAACACGGTGCTCGGAATGCTTCGGAACGCAACATTAGGCTCCGCCTCGCACACTGCGGCGATAATCAGGAGGCGGAGCTTAATGTTGCGATCCGAAGCATATCAAGCATCGACGTAACAAACAGAGTTATAGCAGCGAAACAGTTTTGTTCGGATTGTATTGGATATTTTACGACGCTCTGTATGGAAGCTAGATGATTGCCATATATAATATTTTATCACTCACCTTGTTGTAAATATGTAAATACCATCGAGCATTCATCAACGATGATTGGATGTGACTTTTTCCGAACATCGTTCAACAAAACATGGGCAACAAAATTGTAATTAGGCAACGCTTAAGAGAGTGTACGAAACCATAGAATCTTGCTATATCTTGCTATCTTTTTGGGGTAACCGTAAACGTACCGGTTTTAATATTGCTTTAGGCTCAATCTATTTCCTTTTCCATTGTCAGAGTAATTCGCACTGTACCAAAACCGACTCGATCAGAATCCTTTTAAAAAAACAATCCTGCTGCCGCGTTCTCGATCGTCGGTCGTGACGTCGATTCTCGACTCTTCCATTCTCGTCGACTGTTCACGAGAGTCCATGACCGTTGAAGCCGGGGGGTGGATCGGGTAACTTCGGACGCGTTCGGATCTCCACTTACGGCTTACATTGTTGTATGCCGGGTAGTCTACCTGTAGGATCGACCCGACATTATAA